TACTTCCTACCCTCTCCTCTCTGCAGGGACAAGACAGACTTTTCAGAATCATCCCCCTGCCTCTAAGAAGAGGGGGATTTAACCTTACAGGTAAAAAGATGCCTCCCACAGTCTCCAGGGTTTTCAAAGAATGTTTTTATTTATCTCTGAGTAACACAGTGCACCAAAGAGTTTTCCCCGTCATCAAGGCCAAATCCCCATCATGACCATTTTAGCCCTTTTCCTAGTATGTCTTCACTGAGCCCTGGGTCCTTGTCCTGTTTAAAATGCCTTAGCATTTAGTGACATCTGTTTTTCCCCAGTGAATTAAAAATCTGTGAATAATAATTTTGGTAGTTGTTGAGAATTCTGGACCCCAACTAATTCCATTTAAATAGAGGTACTCCCTAGAGATCTAATGATGATGTTTACATATAATTAGTTTGTTGACGAGTCTCATCTTGTTGGGGTTTATGCCTATGTAAAACGGTTTTATTTTCCCCTCTCACTGCGTTCAACTGTATTGTGTTGGATACTACCCTCCTGCTGGGAAGCTAGTTTCTTAGCAACGAGGAATTTCCTGTCATTTTCAATTATTAGTATGGTCTCATTTGGGTATTTAAGACCTAGTCCTGTTCATTTAAAAGAAGATTAATATCAAACTTGATTTAACATGCATCCTCTCTCCACCTCAGTTACTGGTGGCTGTGTGTGTGTGTGTGTGTGTGTGTGTGTGTGCACCCTGGTTCTGAGGCACATTTTTTTCCTTGTAGGACCTACTTCCTCTGAAGTTGGGACTAAGAGGAGGGAAGGGGGAAATGGAGGAGTTTTTATAGCATTGTTAAAATGTCATAGGTGGGCAGGCTTTGGGCCACACCCACCCTGGTTCAGACAGATTTTCTGATGGCGCGGACTCTGTTGAAGTGGTATCTGCATAGTGTTATGCATAGTTTTCTTGAGGCAAGACCATTCCCTCCACCTCTGAGCCTGCAGATATGAGCCCTGCCTCCCCTTGGCCTTGTCAGTGGTCACATCGCCGACCTCTTCTTCAGGGTGGGCAGGCTGTGGCTTGGGCACTCCTCACACACCTGCCCTTCTGTGCTTCTTCCTCAAGGGTGATAGAAAGCCCAGAACATTCTTCTGCCTTCTGAGGACTGAGCACACTGGAGGGGTGCGGCTTCCCCACCTTTCTCCCAGGTATGCCACATTGGAGCCCATGGAAATCTCTAGATTTCCCTGGGCACCTGGCTCCACATTCACATGAACCTCAAAGTTCAGAAGACACAGGCAAGGAGCCCTTCTCCTCCCCACAGCATGTCATACTCCAAGGCTTCCAGACATCCTCTCAGAACTGCATCTCTACTGCTCCTCTCTGCTTCTGTCGCTCAGCGGTGGTCCAGACCCCGCTTCTCTTAGGCATCCACAGTCCCTCTAAATGATTCTCATGGCTCAGCCTGCCCTCCTCACTCAGGGAAGGGGAAAGAACCTGCCCTTTTTCTCAGCTTCTGGCCTCCCCATGATCTACACGTCTCTTGTTTCCTGTTAGACAGGTGGGTGTGGTCTGGGGTGGGCAGGTTGGTCGGAGAGGACTTGGTTGGTGGTAGGGCCATTTCTGCTGCCTCTTACCAAGGCCCACAGGGAGATGGTTGGCTCCAGCTGCTGGGGGCTATCTCTAGAACGTGGAGATATCAAGTGACTTTGGTTTCGGACCAAAAGAGTGTTTTAGGATGTCGAAATACATGTTTTATAACATGTACCCACAGATAGATGCATAATAATATGTGGGTGTATATCCTAGGCCCTAAGAAGGCCAGGATGCTGATCTGTCATCTTCTTCACGTACAATTCACAAAACCCCACAGACCCGAAGTCCAAAAAGTGCAATATATCCTAATTTTTGCCATGAGTACACTTTTTATTTTTCCAAAGGTCAAATTTCAAATGTAGAAAAAACACGCTGGAGCCCAGTACTCCTTGTTCCCCAAGCACATGAGCCCAGAACTGTATCCCAGGCTTATCGAGAAAGTTAGATCAGTAAATAAATGGGAGAGTATCGACAAAATCCTGTGACCTACCAATACATGCTAGCATAGAAATAATATGCTTATATATAATTGTACATGAGATTTTTACATATGAACATGCTTACCTAGAAGCCATATTTTAGTCTGGTATGTGAAAATAAGTTGGTGTCTGGAATTCATTTTTTATTTCATTGGTGTATATTGTACCAATCAATTAAGACTATACTATAGCCAGTCTTGAGCCAGACTATCTGGTTGTTAAAACTGACACTATGATTTTAGGCAAATAGCTTAGTGTCTCCGAGTCTCAACTTCCTCATCTGTAAGTGGGGATGATAACACTGTCTACCTCATGGAGCTGTTGGAGAATCAAATGGAGTAGTTCATATAAAAACACCCTTAAAAAGTATCTGGTTCTATGGTTAGCTCTCAGAGATGAGCTATTGTTATATACTTGTATTAACTAGATAAAACATGAGAAATTTCTTATTTTTTTCTATGTTTCGGATATTTTAAATAGAAATTAAATGGATAAAACTAGCCTGTACTTTGTGATGAAGCTGATTTTTAAACATTTACCTCAAAGATTCCCTGGGGGTAAGGGCTAGAGTAGCGTGAGAAATCTCTTGATAAGACTGGAGCCAGATTTACCGGCGATTGATCAGGGTAGCGGCTGATCAAGATTCATGCCATTCTGTACCAGCTGTTCATTCAAAAGAGCAGGCTAGCACCACTGAGAATGCACATGACCGGCTGTACTACCCAGACTGTGGCCTGGACACTCATTACCAAGTCACAGACCTGCATACCTCTTTCTTTCCACCCTGACTCACGCTTGTTTTCCTTCTGCTGCTTCCTGTTGGCTGCGTGCAGATCCCTTTGAAAGGCTGCACGTTTGCAGACTGGTATCGAGGGAAAAAGTTTGACTTAACGATTCTTTCCTAATGACTTCTCAATATTTCATTTATGGTTTCAGCTTCAGTGCTTTCCTAACCTTCCCACTGTGCAAACCCTTATTAGCTTTATCGGCTTACCTGACGCAAATTGATTTCGTTGAATTTTCTGGACCGTTTATATATTTATTTCCTTACGTCCTTTCTATTTTTGTCTGCCCATTTCAAGCTTTCATTCTAAATTTATTGCAGATGCTACGTCTTAGCAATCTTGATCTTCTCAGCACATATTTGTCAGGTTGTAATTTTTTATTTGTTATCAACAGCCAAATTTAAACAGTGCTAACCTTGTCCTAGTTTAGTTTGTATAAGCCCTACTCTTGTTACTGAGAAAAAAAACAAATGTTAATTTCTGGTTCTCCTCTCCCTGAGTGGTACTCCCTCATCCTTCGAGTACCGCAGTTAATTAAAACAAACAAACAAACAAACAAAAAAAACAACAAAAAATGGGGCAGTGGGAACCATATTTGGACCTGAACTTTAAACAAAAAGTATTTTGGCAAGAACAGTGAAGTAGAGGGTTGGGGGCAGGAGGCGGTTTGCTAGTTCACTCTCCCTCTTGTCCTCCTTCCCCGTTTTACCTGGGGGTGGGGTGGGGCTGGTCCCAGCTGTGGCAGGTGCCCCACGGCATCCCTGAGTGGTAGTTGCTGTCTGTGCACAGGTTTTTGTGGTGGCTGCTGCTACAGGTTGGATTCTGTAGGCTGCTGGAGCAGAATTCCCAGTTTTGTGTGTCCATAGTAGGACTTCCGTATCTTGTGTGTATATATTTTCTGGCTGCAGGGGCAGAATTGTGGGCATGTGGCAAGGGTAGGCAGAGGGGAGTGCTGCAGGGGGCTGCTGAGCATACTGTGCGAGAGTTTCTCAAACCCTAATTTCACTTTTCAAATAGGTGTTTTAATCAGAGGCTAAATTCGGATTCTGGTCCCTCAAGCAAAAGTTTGTTTGCTGAAGCTCATGTCTGTGCTTCACTCCACCTCCTGGTCCCAGGCCGCTCAGGAGCTGAGCTCCCTGCTCATGGCTGCCGGCTGCTGTTGGAACAGCATTTTGTTCTCTCCTTTCTGTCTGGGAACTGGCAGGTCATGCCTGGCCCACAGGGCTCAGCTGAAGTTGTGCTTCCTCCAGGAAGCTCTCCCTGACCAGTCCAGTCCAAGGCCACCTCTCGGTGGTCTAAACCAGGCATCAATGCACTCCTGCTTATGGGCCAGATCTCACCACTGCCTGTTTTTATAAGGAAACGTTTATTAGATAATATAGCTATGCACCTGAAACTACTAAAAAATAATATTGGATGTAAATTGTAATTAAAAAACAGAATTCAAAAACACGTGGATAATATTTAAAGAAAACATATAGCTACATTTACTTGTTTATACACTGTCTAGGGCTGCTCTCCAGATCCAGTGGGAGGACTGAACAGCTGTGAGACTACAGAAAAAGGCTGGGACCCTCTCCTTAACCGGGAGGGCTTAATGCCCGCATCTCGCAGCATGATGTGTAATAAATGTTCCTGTTTTGCAGCTTGCAAAACTCTCAGTTTTAAATTTAACACAGCCTTTTCGTCTTTCCCAGATATTCTGCAAACTGAACAAATAATCTTAAAATTACACTTGGAGATTGGGTGAGCTCCCCACAAGGGACAAAGAGAACCCTCGGGCAATTTTATTTTCAGAAGACGACATTCATTCGTCACTGCTGTCGGGTGACTGCAGATAAGGCCTTCAGAGCGCAGCTCTGTGCCTAAACTTCCTTCCAGCCCAGAGCTCATGCTTGTTACTGATCTCTGTGTGGGAGTGTAAATCTGATCACATTTCCATACGAATGTGTGAAGATGTAACTTAATCGAATCATTTCTATGGGAGTCTGAATATACACATAATTTTAGAAGGTTAGAACTTACTTTAAAAAATAATACTAACGGGATCCTCCTGGACACTCGGGTGTCCTATTTTGCCAGAATCCTGCTTGCAGTGGGTGTGAAGGTGAGAATACACTTCACACAGTGACCCAGAGCTAGCTTTATTCACTTGTCTTCTCTCCTGGCCAGCGGTCAGCCCATCCCCAGGGTGGAGTACACAGAGGAAGAAACGAAAACTTGGGGTGTTGTATTCCGGGAGCTCTCCAAGCTCTATCCCACGCACGCTTGTCGGGAGTATTTGAAAAACTTCCCTCTGCTGACTAAATACTGTGGCTACAGGGAGGACAACGTGCCCCAGCTTGAAGACGTCTCCGTGTTTCTGAAAGGTAAGGCTTCACACAGGCTTGCCTCCTGGCCAATATCCTCATTTGCCTTCCAAGGACACACATCTTCTCTTCTCTTCTCTGACTCTGACCCTTGTGCCTCCTTCCTGTAAGGACCCTTGTGTTTATAGCGGCCTGACCTGAATAATCCAGGATCATCTCTTCATCTCTAGATCCTTAACCTAATCACACCTGCAAAGTCCATTTTGCCACGTACGGAAACATATTCACAGGTTCAGGGGACTTAGACATGGAAGTCCTTCGAGGGCCATTATCCAGCTTACCATGGTCTCCAAGTATTGCCACATCTAGCTTTGTGACCTATTGTGAATCTGTCCTTTTCCTCCACTTCCAATGCCATCACCCAAATAGGGGTCCCTGCCATTCTGTAACCTGGATGCCTGTCCTCTGCCATCCACTGCATCTAGATAGAGCTCCCAAAGCATTACTTTCTTTTTTTTAAATTTTATTTAGTTATTTTTCAAGTACAGTTTTCTGTCTATTTCTTCCATCCTAGCCCACCCTGCCCTGTGCTCCCTCCCTCCCTCCCATTTCCACCCCCCTTAGTTCTCGTCCCTGTGTCCTTCCTATTTGTTCCTCCAAATCCCTCCCCTTTTTTCCCCTTAAATTCCCTTCCCTCTCTCCTCTGGTCACTGTCCCCTTGTTCTCTATTTCAGTGTCTTTGTTTTTATTTTGCTTGCTTGTTTGTTTTGTTGTTTAGCTTCCTGTTAAAGGTGAGATCATATGGTATTTGTCTTTCAACACCTGGCCTATTTCACTCAACATAATGCTTTCCAGTTCCATCCATGCCATTGCAAAGGGTAGTAGCTCCTTCTTTCTCTCTGCTGCATAGAATTCCATTGTGTATATGTACCACAATTTTTTGATTCATTCATTTACTGACGGGCACCTAGGTTGCTTCCAACTCTTGGCTATTGTAAATTGTGCTGCTATGAACATTGTGGTGCATAGGTTCTTTGAAATTGATGTTTTAGGATTCTCAGGATATAATCCTAGCAGTGGAATTGCTGGGTCAAAAGGCAGGTCAATTTTTATTTTTCTGAGAAAATTCCATATTGTTTTCCATAATGGTTTTACCAGTCTGCAATCCTACCAACAGTGAACTAAGGTCCCCTTTTCCCCACACCCTCTCCAACATTTGTTGTTGGTTGCTTTGTTTATGATAGCTATTCTGACCTCTGTAAAGTGGTATCTCATTGTGGTTTTAATTTGCATCTCTCTGATAGCTAATGATATTGGGCATCTCTTCATGTGTCTCTGGATTCTGTATGTCCTCTTTGGAGAAGTGTCTGTTCAAGTCCTTTTCCCATTTTTTAATTGGGTTAGTTGTCTTCTTAGAGTGGAGTCGTGTAAGTTCTTTGTATATTTTGGAGATTAAACCTTTGTCTTAGGTATCATTGACAAATATGTTTTCCCATACAGTTGGCTGTCTTTTTAATTTAATACTGTTTTCCTTAGCCACGCAGAAGCTTTTAATTTTGATGAGAAGCCATTTGTTTATTCTTTCCTTTATATTCCTTGCTCTAGGGGACATATCAGTAAAAATGTTGCTGCATGAAATATCTGAGATTTTCTTGCCAATGTTCTCCTCTAGGACTTTAATGGTGTCACAGCTTATATTAAGTCTTTTATCCACCTTGAATTTATTGTGGTGTATGGTGTAAGTCGGTGCTCAGGTTTCATTTTTTTGCATGTAGCTGTCCAGTTCTCCCAACACCATTTGTTGAAGAGGCTATCTTTATTCCATTTTATATTACTGCCCCCTTTGTTGAATATTAATTGACTGTACAGAGTTGGGTTGATTTCTGGGCTCTCTGTTCTGTTCCATTGGTCTATGTGCCTGTTTTTATGCCAGTACCAGGCTGTTTTGGTTACAGTGGTTTTGTAATACAGTTTGATATCAGGTATTGTGATCCCTCCTACTTTGTTCTTCTTTCACAAAAGTGCAGCTGCTCTTCGGGGTCATTTATGGTTCCATATAAATTTTTGAAGTGTTTGTTCTATGTCTGTGAAATATGCCATTGGTACTTTAATAGGTATTGCATTGAATCTGTAAATTGCCAAAGCATTACTTTCTTCTGACATCTCTGTTCAGAAGGTATCAGGGCCTCTCCTTAGTTTTTATTGGGACTGGAAAACTTTTTTTTTCTATAAGGCCGATAGTAAATATTTTACTCCCGATAGTAAAATATTTACTATCGGCCTTACAGAATAGTAAATGGTAAATACTATTTGTGGGCTAAGAGGTAAAATTGAGGCCATTACACAGGTACTTATATACCATTGAAATGTGACTGTTAAAGAATATAAAAACTATTCCTAGCTCATGGGGTATACAAAACCAGGCAACTAGCTGGATTTGGATGACAGGGTGGTTTGTTGATCCCCGGTTCATACTGTCAAGTTCTGAACTGCTCAGCCTCAATTCATGACCCAGACGCAGCTTTCCAAGTTTGTCTCCTGCCCTGACTGCTGCCCGGTTCTAGCCTCTGTTCCAGCTGCTCGCTACACCTTTGCTTAGGCTCTGCCCTTTGCTAGAAGAGTCAACATATTTTCACCTACTCAGCTTCTACTTACTTTTCAAGACTCAGAGCGCATTCTGCCTCCTCTCTGAATCCTGATCGTAACAGCCACCATGACCTCCCTGCTCTGATTTAGTTTATTCCAGACCATGTGTGTACCAGGGGAGAGAGAGACATGGGCTGACAGCTGATACCCTGAGAAGCACGCCTAGCACAATGGGAGGGTGGACATCATCCGTGACATTTTTTATTGAGGGAACAAGGTCAAGAGTCTGCATTTATTTACATAATGCCTTGTGTTATGGTTTCTTCTTCTGCTTTTTAAATTGAATTTATTGGGGTGACATGGGTCTACCAAATCACACAAGTTTCAAGTGTACAACTCAACAAAACATCATCTACACACTGCATCGGCACGTTTACCGCCCCAAGCAAAGTCTCTTTCCATCCCCCTTTTACTCCACTTTGGCCAGCTCCACCTACCCCCCACTCACCTTGTGTTATTATTTAATTAGATTACATTTTCCCTCATAGACCTGTGTCTGACGTGTCCCTGCTTGTCTGCCACAGCGTCATCTGCATGTTATGTATTTACCTTGGACTCGAATGCTCATGTGGGGGATCGCTTTTCCCTGCATTGTTTCTCAACCCCCAGTACTTGGAAAACCATCTCATGATTTTTGCCACATCTGTCTCCCAACTGAACATTTTTATTACCAGAGGTAGTGTAATATAGTACGGATTCTGGACAGCTCTTCCTTCTGCCAGTTCCTAGCTGTGTGACTTAGATGAATTACCTTCACCTTTTGGTGCCTCTTTGTTTCTTCTCTGCAAATGAAGATAATACTTTGATCTACTTCATGAGGGGATGGGAGGGAAACTAATTAATAACACTCGAAGCCCTAACATTATTGTCTGACACAGATGAGGCACAGAGGAATCTGAGTTCCCATTACTGTCGTCCTTGTTGCTGCCGTCAGTGCTGTTTTCCTGCCCGCAGTGAGCTGGACGCTGGGGGTGCAGCCGGCATCGTGCACTGGCACACAGCAAGCACAGTGTCCGTGTGTGTGGTTTTTGCTTTTAACTCATTGACTTTTAAAATACATAATTTATTGGGAAAAAAACTTTTTAAGCAATGGTGTCTGCAAAATCAAACTGATGTGATAGATACATATTTAAAAAATTTATATAAAACTCAATTGCACAATTATTAAAGAATATTCCTTTGTGTACCACCACTTGTGTCCTACATGTGGGGTACACTGACTTAACCGACATAAGTTGAGGAAGAAAATACACTTGTTTATTTTTTTGATATCCAACGGAGAGCAATAAAAAATGAAAGCTTTTGGAACAAGCATAAAACTGTTAAGAGTTACTGGTCCAGGGAGGCCTGCGCGTGGAGTTCTTCCCATGTAGACACCAGAAACTCCAGGGGGACTTGTTTCCTAAGCTTCATTTTTTTTGTCTTTGTAAACCATTTCTGACCATTCTAAGGTGCTCCCCTAATGAGGGGAGGATTTCGGAAGGGGAGCCTTGAGTATGCAGGTATCTGAGGCAATGGTAGCCCCCCGTTGGAAACGTCCCGGGCCTTCTTCCTGAGAAGGAAGTTGTGTGTAGCCCTTAAACTGGGAATGCTGATTATCTAACCACGGCCAACTGAGTTAACAGTATAGAGCAGTTTCATAGATTCTATTATATTGTGTTTATTTTATTCTCTCTTACAATAAACCAATAAAGCACGCAGAGCTTTTGTGTATCTCTTCAGATTGCGGTAATGGATGTGACTATTTTCATAATATCACAGAAAACAGCAGTCCTGAGTGGAGGAGTTAGGTGGTATTGACAAAAAAAGGCTGGAACGGGAAGTGATCCCACGGTGCTAGTGAAGGGAGGGAATTAGCTCTGTTCGCTGACCACACTTTAGAAAGATACCAGCTAATACGTGGTAAGCATCACTTTAGATTGTCATCTTCTCCTGTGTGTTGAGCTTTCTTGTTTGTTTTCTGAATTTAAATCCTTTAAGTATTTTTTCATGTTTTCTTTCATTTTCATAAATGTCTTGTTCCTCTGGAAGCCATCATTTGACAGTGTAGTTTTGTAATCAGATGACACAAATGTGACAGCTGTTAACAGTGGAGTTGATTCTTGAACAACATAGGGGCCTGTAGGGGTCTGGTTTAGCCTGGCAAACGTGACTCAGCTCTGTATGGAAAGCCTAAAGAAGCGAAGTGGTGGGCAGGAGCCAGGCCTTCAAACCGAGTTTTCCCGTGGGAATCGGGCCTAGAAAATGCATACAGACTGTTATGGCTGTTCTTGCTAAAACCATCACCCTGGTTTGAAACAACAAATGTGTATTGTCTATCTTCAAGGTAATTTTCAAAGCTTGTGTAAATTTGCCCAAGGACAGAGCTAATCGGTTCATCACCATTCCCTTCTGCATGTTATTTTCATTTTCCTTGATTGTACCTAGAATGTAGCCAATAATATTCTGTGTAATAGATAATAAATCTTTCTCTGTTGCAAGACCTGAGGAAAACAATAAAAGCCTGTCTAGGCAAGGATCAGTGCTCTCCTCTTGAGGGAGTGGCCAAGGCACCATAGGCGCTCTCCCCTTGAGAGAGTAGCTGTGCCTGTTCCCTTTTTCTCCACAGGATGGTTGCCTGTGTATTCATTCTTGTCATCAGCCACAACAGGTGGACCTGCTGGCTGGAGTCCACCACAGGGGCCCCCAGCACAAGTGAAAATCCATGTATACCTGGACTTTACAGTTGGCTCTTCCCACCCAGGATTCAACCATCTGCAGATAAAAACCAGTATTTTTGATCTGTGTTTGGGAAAATGTAGCTGGGAATGTGAAAAATGGTTTTTCTGATCCACAGTTAGTTGGATCTGCAGTGTGAAAACTGTAGAGAGGACAGGCCAACTGTATTTGTTGAAATAAACCCATGTATAAATGAAAATATATACATTCATTTACACCCATGTGGCTCAAGGGTCAACTGTATAAGTCATTCAATTGTCAAGAGTTTTAGGACCTTCGTTCCTTTGTTTCTAGAACATTCTTGTAAATAATAGGAAGCCCTGCTTGGGCCCTCAAGTCCTGTTGGCTTATGATTTAGTTGACTCTTTCTGATGTCTCTTTAGAAAGATCTGGCTTCACCGTGAGGCCAGTGGCTGGGTACCTGAGTCCCCGAGACTTTCTGGCAGGACTGGCCTACAGGGTGTTCCACTGTACCCAGTACATCCGCCATGGCTCGGACCCCCTCTACACCCCAGAACCGTGAGTACCCACACTGGGAGCCTGGGCTGGATGGAGACCCCACACTGTGAAGTAATTAATGTTCACTTCACTGGAAAGTGACTTAGGCCTCTTTTCCTCCTAAATCCACTCATCTAGCTGGTGAGAGGCAAAGCCCTCACCTAGGGAAGGAAGAAGTTACTGAAAGACCAGACTCCTCAGCTGTGTCTACAGGGCCTCTGATATTCTTTCTCCAGCTTGTCTCTCTAACTTTATCCCAACACTGAGCCTTTAACTTTGGCCAGGCTGTTGATGACATTGCTCCTTAAGCCATGTATAGTTTTTGTAAAGCCATGATTCCTATAGACAGCTAGGACAGTGTTGCATTGAAAGAAGCAGGGCTCATACCAAAAGTCCAATGAGAGGATAATTCCTACACTGCAGGCTCTACCCTCATCAACTCATTTAATCCACATAGCAACGCTGTGATGGAGATACTGTTATTATCTCCACTTTACTGATGAGGAGATGCAGGCACAGAGGAGCAAAGTAAACGTGGACACATGTGTCTCTCCCATGAGGAAGCTCCTCTCATGCTACTCAGGTTAAACATACCTAACAACTCTCATCGCCAATCTCCTCTCCCTTCATCTTTACATCACCCTCAAACTCACAGCTCTGAGCTGTGACCTCCTTGCTGTCCTAGTTTCTTGAACGCTCCCCAGGCCTACCCACCACCTCTAGATTCTTTTGGGGTTTGTGATTCTTTGTCTTCTTAATCCTTACCTGAAAATATGTTTATTGATTTTAGAGAGAGAGGAAGAGAGAGAGAGAGAGAAAGAGAGACAAAGAGAAAGAGAGAGCGAGAAACATTAATGTCAGAGAGAAATGTCAATTTGTTGCTTCCTGAACATGCCCCAAATGGGGGTCAAACCCACGACCTAGGGTATGTGCCCTGACCAGGGACTGAACCTGCAACCTTCTGGTTTAGGGGATGATGCTCCAACCAATGGAGCAACACAGTCAAGGCAGGGTTTGTGATTATTCTTTGGCTCTGTCATCTTTCTGCAAGAGAATTCATCTTTGTGACTTTTAACCTTCCTCCCCTGGACAATGAGTGGGATAAAAGCACAGAGGGAAGCAAGGGATGCTGCTGGACTGCTCTGTCCTGGGTGGGGACAGAGGGCAAGCTAGGAACCTCTTCTTGTTAATGATCGTTCTCATGACACATGGCATTGTACAGTCTCTCTGTGTGAAACACCCTGGGTCCCTTTTCTGAACCTACTGAATTTTGTACTGCCTTCTAGGTGTACATGAGTTTCATCTTCTTTGATCTTGCCATCCTGTGCACAATCACTCCTTCCTCAGAAAACCTGCCATTTGCCTTCCTTATTTTCCATCTGTTCCATGTATTTAACTGTGCTATCTTTTAACACGTTAAAGTGTGTCCTACATCTTCCTTGAAATCATAAATGAGTGGTCTGAAGTATATATTTTTTGTGTGCTTTAAAAAAATTGCACACGTTTATTAGAACACTATGTGCATAGATAGTCTCGGAACAAGACACAGTACCGTACTGCCCTGCTGGAAGAATGGGACATAAAATGGCCAGCATATAAACAGATTAGTGATTGCCAGCATTCTTCATCCCATGGCACATATAAACTAATTACTAAATTCTGTGGCACACCAAAAAAATATTTGTGCTGATTTGACAATAAAAAAAATGAAGGTGTGATTTTGATTTGTTCACATTGAATAGCTATTGTTGTGTTGGTTGTTGTCATTTTTTTATTTAACAATCTGAGGGAAAAGAGGTCAGTGCCCCTGACTAAATAGTCAAGTATTGCATGTTTAACAAATTCTTGCTGCACACCAGTTGCAAATCACTGAGATACAGAGATAGATAAGATGGTATCAGGTACGAGCGCTATTATATGCTAAGAATGATGTGAAGATGAATACAGCAGGGTGAGGAAAGGAAGAGTGATGTGAAATGCTTTTTAGAAGTGGATATTAGGGTAGCCTCTTGGAAGGTGACCAGACTATATTTGGGGAGGGGTGGGTTCATTCCAGGTGGAGAGAGAAGAACAAAAGCAAAGACTCCTCCAGCTCTATTCTAATGATGTCTAATCCTAATCTTACTCTAATTCGTCACCTGTTTGTAATAATGTGATTTATAATAAGAAATAACATATTTGGTCTTTGTCTCCATTGCTAGTAAAAAGCTTCTAAAACCTTCAAAATTCCCTTGGTGAGAGAGATAATGTTGATATATTAATGAGGTGGCTTTTGGAAAGCCCTTAGGTCATCTAAGAAAGTGAGCTGGTCATCACGGGGTCCAACCCTGTGATTGGAGGGTTGGAACTTTCAGTCCCACCCTCCTGGCCTCTAGAGAGCAAAGAGGGGTCGGAGGTTGACCCAGTTGCCAATGGCCAGTGATTTAGTTAATCATGCTGGTGGAATGAAGCTTCCACAAAATCTCAAAAGCATGGTGTTCATAGAGCTTCTGGGAAGCTCTTCACTCTTCCCACATACATAGTTCCACACATCTCTTCAAAGGGAAGTTCATCTGTATCCCATATTATATCCTTTTTATAATGAACCAGTAATCTGGTAAGTAAAATGTTTCTCTGAGTCTTTGAGCTATTCTATCAAATTAACCAAACCTGAGGAGGGAGTCATGGAAACTTCTGATTTATAGCCAGTCAGTCAGAAGCATAGGGAACAATCTGGACTTACAGCTTAACTGGTGTCTGAGACCCAAGGCAGTGATTGTTGGTACCTCCAATCTAAAGCCAATAGGTCCAAAGCACAGGTGACAACCTGGACTTACGACTGGGGAGGACTTGTAGGACTGAACCCTTAACCTGTAGATTTTTTGCTCTCCCTGGGTAGATAGTGTCAGAATTGAGTTAAACTGTAGGACACCCAGCTTGTGTCTAAGAATTGCTCCTTGTTTGTGGATTTGTTGGAACTCAAAAGACCTCTGTTCTTCAGGCCACAGGGGCTATCACTTTGCCTATGATGCTGCTTTACTTAAATAATTTTGTGATAAATGGGCTGCCAGGGACTTGCCTGGGAGCAGAGAGCCCTCGGAGGTTTAGGCAGTTAAGGAGCTAATGGGCAGAGATGGCAGCAGAGCCTCCGAAGTGCCCCTCCTCCTTTTTGGTGGGCACGAGGCTCACTGATCAGGTGGGTCCCTGAAGAATCACCGCATTGTTTTTTTTTAGCCCTTTCCAGCTTCCCCAAAAGTGTTTTTAGAGTAAACAAAGGTTACTTATAGGACTCAAGACATTTGGAAAAGAAATGCTTCTTAGAGTGGAGTCAGGGCGTAAAGGAGTGTTGTCAGAGTTAGAAAGGCAATCTCTAAATCCAGTCCAGAGGGCTTGCAAATGGCCCTGTTTACAAAGAGCAGGCACTTTGTTAGTTCCCTTTGAATACCTGGCCCTCCTGAGACCTGTGATAGCGCGCCAATGGGTGCACAGAGAGAAAGGGCAAAAAAATGAGATTTTAGTCACAGAAGTCTATAAAATTTGGGGATAATGCGTTACATTTTTACCAAAGTACTTTCAGCCAATTCATTCAGCAAACATTTATGTGCAGTGCTAGCAGGGAGATGCAGTGGATTCAAATATGAATAAAATATAGCAGGTATTTTCTAAGGCAGCCCACATTCTGGCAGGGGAGATAGAAACATAAATACTTGTAAAGGACTGTGGTAGGACTATAATGGAGCTGTGTAAAAAGTCTGGAGGAACAGAGAGGAGAGAAAAGACCCCAAAGGCTTTTCACAGGAGGTGTAACTGCGTGGAGGTCTGGAAAGGAGGCAGGCAGGGGTGTGGAGGGAAGGGAACACTTTCGAGTCAAGGAAATAGCAAGTGCCAGGTTGTGGAGGTATGCAAGGGGCAAAAATGACTGAGGCTTACTACACCAGTGTGGCCAGAGCATAAGTTATGTATTCGTGATGAAATGTTTTTTCGGTCCTTAGTGGAAATGGTCGTTTGTCAAACTAGGTTCTTTGTGCTGAATTCTGTAGGCAGTAGGGAGCTATCCAGGGTTGTCAGGGATGATTGGATCATCTTGTTCAAGAAAGATGATGGGGGTTGGAGGCCAGGGAAATGTGGAGAATGAACTGGATGGAAAAGCAGACATGGAACTTGCATTGTATGGAAGGAATGTGGTTTATAAGGTGTTGAACTAGGACAGGTCAGTGGGAGAGGACAAGAGGGCACCTGTGTGAAAAACTTGTGGGTGAGGGGAGGGGAGGGTCCCTAAGATGGTGCTGAGGCTTTTAGACGGGGAGGCTGACTCGGCAGTTCTTTCTAATGGTGACTGAGAATCCTGAAGGAGGGTCCTACGTGGAGGGAAGAGGACAGGAATAGGGAGAGGAGGATCGGGGGTTTGGGGTGTGTTGTCTTTGTGGCACCCACGGCTGGGACCTTCAAATGGAGAAGCCTCTGGTTTTAGGAAATAAGGGTTGAATTCAGAAGTATTGAGATAAATGGAATCTCTCACTGTAGATTTCAGTATTTTCCTCTTCCTGACTCCTGCTCTGACAGAGACAGGAGGGGACTAAGGCAAAGGATGGAAACTTGGGATTCACTGACTTAGGGCTGTTTTTACAAGCTCTTTTACTACTCATGGGTTCGATACCATTTAAAAAAATATATTATTATTTTATGAATAAGGTACACATGTGCATGATTCAGAATGCAAAGCTACGAAAGGGTATGTACTGAGAGCACCGGCTTCCTTTCTTTCCTCTGCCCCCTTCACTTCTTCCTCCCTGGAGGCGACCACTGCTACCTGTGTTCAGTGCATCCTCCCAGAAACATGCTATGCAGACGAAAGCCTCAGGAAAGATCCCTTTAGTCCTTACGTGTTGCCTAAGTTCCCCCCTAGCCACGCAGTTTGAATCTACAGAACACTATACAGGGAGTGCCGTTCCCTGCCCGAGCACTTCCACAGGCATCGTCTTTGTAATGAAATCCCATTTTCTCAATTGCAAACCAACAAGAGGGCAGATTCTTCAATTTGT